TATGAAGTAGCTATGCCCCACAGGGTGATTCGTAGAAATAAGAAGTATTTAGCTCCATGTGGTCATGAGGATGACCTCCCACCACAAATTGAGGTAAATGGAAAATCTGAAACCACAGTTCAGGGAGTACCATTGACCATGGGGACTGAAAAGCAAAATGAGGTACACAGACCCCAGCCTGAATCATCTACTCTGCAAGAATCAAACTTTACTGAATATAGAACCAGATCAGGCAGAGTCATTAAACCTCCCAAGAGATTAGATTTGTAATTCTTTTGACTTGCAATTACTGTATTTCTTCAGATAGTTTCGATTTTTGCCAGCCTTATTGGCATTAATGTGTTGTATTTTTGAAGTTGTTCGCATTGTACTGAAATTGTACTTTATGGTGAGTTTGACTTGTAAGGGGGATGTTGTGTTAGCTATTTATAGCCTCGGGGTGCTTCGGGTTAACTCGGGGTACTTCGTGGGGTTGACGCAGACGACGTTGTAACATTTGTTAGTTACCGATAATAAATCTGGATATTCACCATTATCCTGGAAGTGATCTGAGTTATTTGATAACACTACAAACAGTACTGTAAAACCATTTATTTTCACTGACATTTAATTTCACTATTTTCATGTTTTGAGAATATTCACTGTGTTTTAATTACACGAATGTGTCGGGAGACAATGAGTTTAATTGTTATTTTACATGTTTACTTAGATTTATTTTAGCAGATTTTACTTATCGGGGGAAATAGTGAAATTAAAACCCAGTGAATAATTAAAGCATATACAGTAAGTGAATTAGTATAGAAAAAACAATCTTTTCTCCAAACAAATCTGTGGGACTGCGCCCTCTATAGACATTTCTTGATTACAAATACAAACATGAAAGAGGAGATTCGAAATCATAACAATATGTCTTGCCACTGTAAATACACACTTCACCAGGCTAATAGCCAGAATAAAAAAAAAATAGCTATTCGAAAAAAAATTATTTAGTCCTAGCGACCTCACTAAGCCACATACAGTAACTACCCCTATAAACAATAAAGTCAATTTAGCATAACAATGAATCCAATTAACATATTCAGTACTCACTACAAAGTATGTGGAAATGTACAAGCCAAATATATATGTGATGTCACAGACAATATCACGTACATGTTTCCACATGTTCAACTCTGAGTGAAGAATTTTGGCCAAATACTACTAGACCACTCAAGTACTAGTAATGACATATCAACTCAATGAATTCACCATTATCGCCTTTGCGTTTTTAGCGTGCGTTGTTATCATCCCTTGGGACTCAATTCCTGTGTGTGCGCTTAAATCATATAATCACCCCAAGAAAATTGAAATATCCTGCTAAATGTCAATTAAGTTATCAATTTTCTCGAGCAATAAACAAAAAATAAAATTGTTCAATCTGAATGTTTCTGCAAAATAAGATTGAACTAACAAGTGTTTTTATCTTTCTGCATGTAGATGATTTCACATACTAGTATTTGTAAAAAGCAGCAGTGTCAATTAAAAGCCTGAAAACTTATATACTAGTACACAGAAGGAGGACAATGATCAGTTGTTTATGGTTATCGGTATTACATTTCAAATTTCTTTTATCGATTGGTATTTGCGCGACTAGCAGTTTTAATACAAAAATGCAGGTTAGTGTTTGAAAACTGGCATACTGAGTGTGAAATGGGTGAAAATTATAAGGCTGCATGATCACACAGCTTTTGAAAAAGTAGGTGACTATAATACCTGTAAATTATTTGGGGGTTGGTTTGTTGACCTGAATGTATACAAAATAAATTCATATAAGTGTCAAGAAACAGGTGAATTTTAAATTCAGTCACCTTACAAATGAATGTCCATTCTCTTTGCTGTACTTCTCCAAAGCCAGTGCTTTACCACCATTCATATTAGACATGTAACCCGGTATGAACATGATACCCGGTGATTTGCCTGGAGTAAATCGGTAAGCGAGAGAACTGCCACCACCACGGTCAAGATTCTTCAGTGGGGATTGTTCAAAGCTTGATATCTTCTTTATTGCTGGGTTGAAAACTGCTTCATCTGAAATGAATTAAATTCAGAAGACTGCTTTCAATGAACTGAAACTTACACTGTGATAGGAGAGTTTGAACTTCAATACTCAGAGAGCACTCAAATTCAAGACCAACAACCCTAAAAATGCCTTATACTTTTGAATAAAATATTTGAGTATTTAGGTAATCTAGGTAATTATCTCCATGACATCTGCGAATTTCAAGTCATTATAGTCACCACAATGTTTCTATTTTGCCATTATTTATATTTATTAAACCTTATTACCAGTAGTTGGTCTTAGATCAAACATATATATTGCATGTATATATGCACACAAAGTGATATACATGTATCATGCCAGGGACAAACAAATTATTTTCCAGTAACAGGCAAACAAAATATTATGTTGGCAGAAAGGATTAATTTTTTTATTTTATTCACTTTTTTTGGTCCACCTTTTACCTGTTTATTTCTAGTAAAATCATGTACTTAAAGCGACCGGAGGTAGTCGTCGCCTACGCATGCATAAGATGGCCATAGCGTGTTATTGTTTACAAACAAGCGTCTACCCATGAGCCTTTGCGTTTTTAGTGTGTGTTGTTATCGTCGTTTGGGACTCAATTCTCACGCGTACGCAGGTGACTACCCTCTCGCTTTAATACATATTGATTAAAAATTATAACCATCAATTTCTGGTTATAGTGATTTGTTTCCTTACAGTGATGCTCTTGTCATCTAGCTGCTACATCAAAACAAAAAAGAACTGATTCATTTAAAAAAATGAAACAATTGGCTATAAATTTGCATAAAATAAAAGATATGTACAAGTAAGCTCATTGGGTTATTCTTTTCCCTGCATTGCTTATCATGGAGAAATTTGAAAGGGACTGAGAACTGCAGTTTACTGTTGACAAGATTTGTTTACCTACACTAAATATTAAAGCGCGATATATGGGTCTCATATAAACAAAGATGGCGACTCGACTGTTGTGCAGATCAACGAGTACAAACCGAGACGTTTCCAAGCTTTAATTAAGTAATGTTATTGAAAGGCATCGAAGGAGTCACCGGCGGTAATCAGTGCAAGTCGCACCTAGGTCAAACGTCATACTTGTGATTTCCATTTGAGGAGCGCATTGGATTGTGGGAAAATAAATGGCACATGCGCAGTGTGACGACTACCACGCTTTAAAGGTACTGTAATGTACATTTTGCTATTTTTAAGTGATAATTTTTCTGAAAAACTGTTATTATTTTCAACAACTCATGTTTCAAATGAGAGACCTTTAAAAAAGGGTTGGTCACTGTAAGCCCTTCCCAGATTTGTTTATTTACCTCCATTTGTGATAACTACTGTAAAATACTTTATTTTCGCTGGAATTAATTTTCGCTGAAAAGGCTTTTTGGGCATTTTATATGGAATTTATTTTCACTGATTTTTGATGAGTTTAATGTGAAATATAGGAAAAAAAGTATATTCGCTGGATTTTATTTTCACAGAATCACCCCTTCAGCGAAAATAGCGAAAATAAATTCCAAGCGAAAATAAAGTATTCTACAGTATTCTTTGTGCCCTATGAGGGGTTTAACCCATTTGAAAGCAGGGGTGAAAAAAAATGTTCACATTGAAGAGAAAAATAATTTCCATGGCAACTCCATAATGTTAGGATTGGGAAACAAAGTGGATAAACAAAAAGTTGTTGTCTAGCATACAAGAATAAAATATTGACAACAAATCCTCCATCACCGGCCCCCTCCCGATTTCGATTGGATATCCCTCACCCCTTCCGTTGTCGGCAGAGGGCGCATTTCACAGCTGAAAAATATAAAAAAAACAATCGATCATGCTAAAATGAAAACATACATTTTGATCTTGCTGAGAGAATCGCATTTTTGTACGCAATTCTTCCGTGCCACATTGCGGAATTGTTGGAGAATATCTCTCGGTCAAAACCATATATATAATGGAAAATCTCACATCGCATTCGCAGTCCAGTTGTTCGCGGAAGTGCAAAATAATTTCCCACAAGCCATCGCGACATTTCGCTTGTCGAGTTTTTTTTTAATGAAAATTCTAAGTATTTTGACTGAATCTGACTGAGTTAAGCCAGCTGTATGTTGAACAAATATTGACAGAAAATGCAAGAAATATCGCAACGTCTTACAGTTTTGTTTGCGTCTTTCTTCTCGCGTTCCAATACAATAGTACTTCCGGTGCATGGGAGGTCGCCATTTTGGTTTTCTAAAGATTGTTTACAGACTCTGGATTTTGTTTGTGTTGACACTTTGTCGAATAGCAACAGTTTTCACCCCCGACATGGGCAGGAGACGGGTAAGAAAGACTCATAAATATACACGGAGCTTTCCAAAACTCATTTCTTCTATCTGAACACGCACATCTTTGTATATTCTGATCTTTCGCTTTTACGATCGTCGACGATTATCAGAGCCATGGCGGGAACATCGCAATGTTATCGTATTTCCCGTCTACTTATTGGCTTTGCATCGAATCATGATCGTTGTGCAAGAGGGTGAAAATGTACTCACAATTTTTTTTGAAGGACAGGTAAATACAGTAGAAAATGTTTTTTTTCCACTATGTCGTCGCACTATTATTTTTTTTAGCGTTATAGTGTTCACTAAGCGTGTAATTTTTTTGTACACAATAGGCCAGCTTCGTATAAACGGGATTGACACATTAATTAGCCATCCAATTCTATGCGTCGAATGTACTTTTGTGGTTGCAGCATTGCGGTAAACCACGGCGTTGTTGATATTAAAGTGGGCGTTTCACCAGTGACGCGGCAGTGTCCGCCCTATATCACGATTGATTTTGTAGGGATTTTGAGTCAAAACGGAATCTCAAAACTCAGGTTGGGTAACCTTGTTAACTGCTGAGTAGAGAGGTCGTTAACAAAATCATGATTGAATGTGGCTGTAGATTTGAATTAAAATGTTATGGTCTATTATCAGACTTATCATTTTCCCAAATTGCAAATTTTATAGTATTGACAAAGCAGATTTCTAGACACTTCGACCCAAATTGAACAACTCAACACAGACACCGTGGATATCTTGACCCACCTCTTTGACCCAACCAGAACTTAATGCTCTTGCGACCTTATATATAAATCATCCTGACTATAAATTATACTCAACATCTATTGGTTCAAAACACTATCAAGTGCTATGGATCAATCCAAAATAGCATTGTATGATATTGAGTTTCCTTTGCGTCTATAACACTAGGTGCATCACAGAAAATTTCTACAGTGCCATTGGCTATGAGAGCAATGCTGGTGACATCGGTTACAAGACTACATGTAGATGCCGTCTATGCCATGAGCTTTATTTACACTTGGAATTTAATTTCGCTAAAGGGATGCTTCAGTGAAAATAAAATCCAGCGAATATACTTTTTTTTCATGTCTCACATTCAAATCATCAAAAATCAGTGAAAATAAATTCTAATCAAAATACCCAAAAAGCTTTTTCAGCGAAAATTAATTCCAGCTAAAATACAGTATTTCACAGTACTTCTGGAATACCTGTTTATCACCATTGGACATGCATGTAACAGTAAATAATACTAAACTTGTTATTGCTTTGATACTAGGTGTATATGTACCTTGGGCAGACCTCTCTCAGATTTGTTCATTTCGTTATATCTTCAAATCTCTAATTTTGATGAATATTTTTGTATTTTTTGGTGTAAAATTATATTTTTGACTTCTTGTTAAAAAGTCGGAGTGCTTTGATATACATACCGTACTTCTCCGGGTAAGAGCCCATGCCTGGGCAAACGCCCACCCCTTATTTTGACACAATAAACAAGTTGAGATCATATCCGATCACACACCCAGGGGGTCTTTTCCTACACAAAAAATAAAAAAAACTGTTGACTATGGTTGTATTAATTAACAGTTGACTTTCTTGAAGTCTGTCGTGATGCTTATAAAAATTCTTTAAATATAATTGTTAATTGCGTAAATCAAGGGGTGAATGCGAAATAGCTGTGACAGCTTTTTGCCTTCAGGACAGCGCGTTCACCGCTGATTTTTTTCAGAATCATAACAGTCAGTAAGTCTATAAAAATATACATTAAAGCAGAAACGGTAGTTCTCTTTTTGAGATATGTCGTTAGTGTTTGGTTTGTGCTTCCTTAGAAACGATTCAAGCAAATCATACATTGTATAAGGAGAGCCGTTAAGCAAGTGTCGCACTCGTTCGGCTTCAGCGTCGTCGACAATGAAATCAATGTTGCAATATTGTAGCAACCCGTACCTGGGAGAGTGGTTGAAATCACGTTATTTTGGCTTTAAAAAATATTTTGTAGCAGCTTGCAAATCCATAACTGGGCCAGCAATTTTGCAATGTGCAATGTCACGCTGAAGACAACCAACTTTTTTACCATCTCTCATCACCGCTATTGCATTTCTGTCATAAAAACTATTCTTCTGTCGTTGGATAAAAAACTTCCTATTTCAAGTCCACCGCGATATCCATATAGTGAGACATTCCGGAACTTGCCGAATGATAACTTTCACCGTGAAAGAAGTTGTAGGGATTTTGTTCGACGACTACAGTGACGCCAACTTGGACTTTGAGGGTTTTGAGTTTGACGAAGATGGCAATGAACATACAAATAAAGATCTGAGAAGTGTTTTCAAACAGCTATGATTTTTATAATTTTTACTGTGTAAATTTGTAAATTATTATTGATCTTGTATGACAGTTGATTCGTAATTTGTCGAGACCGGAAACCATTTTACGCAGTTTAACCCCTGACATTTTAGTTCATTTTGAGTTCACATGTATTGGGCGTGTTTGTCGGCGGGAAAATTATAATTCAAATGATTCCTCACTGACGATTTTTATTATTTCTGGTTTATTTGTCACATTATATTAAAGCAATACATTAATTTTGTTTTACTTCTAGTGTTGCATATTGTTCATTTATTTCCGTTGCATGTTTTCATTTGCCGTTCTATTCCCTGTCGCAGTTCGTTCTGCGTGTTGTCAATTTTCGTTTTTTTGCCGGGGATCTCCTGGCAAACGCTCACCCCTTCTTTTTGGCAATTTTCCATGTTCAGGACCCTTGGCTTATACCCGGATAAATATGGTATATGTACCTCAGATAGACCTCTCTCAGATTTGTTCATTTCATGATGACATCTTCAGTTTTTTTCAATTTGAAATGTGCATTGCTAACAGCTGAGCTATCTCAGCCGGGAGGATGCTTGTTTTGGTTTGTGTTTTTGTATTTTATCCGCCATAATCTTAACTCGTACACTATTTATGTCATAAATCAGTGAAAATAAATTCCATACAAAACGCCCAAAAAGCCTTTTCAGCAAAAACTAATTCCAGTGAAAATAAAGTAGTCCACAATATTCAAATTATCTGTTTAAGCATTGTTTGTCAATTGTTTTACAATGACCAGTCGGCATTCACTAAAGATGTTGTACACCAGCTAATGTATTCATTGTGAATATTTGTAGTGGATTACTCTATAATTTTTATAACCACACACATACCACTCTTCTTATCATTTATGTCAGCCTATGTACTACTAATAAAGTTGATACATCTATATGTGTAGGCTTGACTTTTTGTATTTGGGATCATTCAATATACTATGGATTGGAAATTGAAATATTGACTAGTTTGAAGGGTAGGGCATCCAAGCAGTCGTCTACATGAAATTTTCAACCCCAATACATTGCATGCATTTATTTGTGCATTCTCCATATACTATTTTATTGACTCCAAGTCTCACTTAACGAGAGATGTTGAAAGACATATTATGATGCGTTCTCATATTTTTCATAGCGAGAAACCCGCCGACTGCGCACTAGTTCAGATTCTGATGATGTCACCACAGAAGAAGAGTCCGACTTCTCAGTTGATGTAGAAGCCAGCTCCACTGATGAAGACTTCCCAGAGGACAGACGAGTAACCAGGAGCTCGGCTAAATTTGAGCAAACCCAGGGTGAGTAATTGCTGGGGTGGTACAAACATTCAAAGTCAGCTGGCGTACAAGTGTTTACAATAAATAAGATTAGTTTACTGATGTTTACTACCGGGTATATACCATAAACGCCATAATTTTACCGTTTCTCTAATTCAGGCGCCAGGGAAGAGTGAAAGACTTAATGTGGTTCTAAAATAACTGAAAAGTTTCCAGTCAAACAAAAAAAAAGTTTGTATTTCCACATAATATAAAAAATACTCAGTGATTTCTATGTAATATGCATCGGTTTTAATTTTGCTGGTAATTAAAAAGTATACAGTTATAGTCTAGAAGAAGTTTCAAATAAAACCATGAATGCATTGCTTAATTGGAAATTGTCACTGTAGTGTTATTCTGTCATACTGTGCTTCTCAAATGAATAATTTTCTTGTTTAGGTATTGCAAATGTTGATTATTACTCAGTCATGATTGTAATAACTTTATCAAAATAAAAAATACATGTAGCAGTCTGACTCTGCAAACGTAGACTTACCGTTAAAATCCTATTATAAACCGCGGTTTATATTACAATGTATCAAATAAAAAAATTGGGATCAACAGCTCAAGTTCAGGGTGCGGTTTATATTAGAGACATATTGCAATCACTAAATGGGCGTGGTCATTTTTCCCCACATCACTTGCACGAAACAAACAATACACCACACCGTACAATCTTTTGAATATAAGCTAACTCCAATTTAGATGTCGGGGAAGAGTGATAAGCGTCACATCACAAAAAAAATGTTCACATGAAAAAAAAAAATACTTGGTATATTTAATGTAATATGCATTTATTTTTTTTATTTTCTTCGTAACGGAAAGTATATTCTGACAGGAGTTTCAAATAAAAACAAACATTAATGCATTGCTGAGTAGAAAATGATCATGGTACGGCACTAAAAAAGTACGATACCGTGGGTACGGTAACGCAATCCGGCCATGCTTCGGCTCACAAGTGAATATCTTACTTGTTTTCGAACTGTTGAAATTGTTGATTATTACTCAGTAGTGATTATAACAACGCACGAAAAATAAATTTGTTGAATTGTTATCAAATGCAAGTAAAATTCAACTTAGTTTCACCGTAAGCAAATAATTTCGGTCACATGTAAACGATCGAAGCGATACGACTTCTGCTATGTAGTTTGAATGCACATGAGACATTACTTGCTAATTAACCAATCAAAATGTTGGATGGCGCCCACGTGTTCAAATTACCTTAGTTCATTTAAATATCTTAATGACAGGTCACCGACTTCATGGTGAAAGAAACCCGGAAGCGATTTACCGATAAATGTTGTGCGATTTTTTGGCTTTGATTTCCATGGAAAAAACGACATGACTTTTTTTTTAAATCAAGAAATTAGTTGTTTTCGAAAGATAAACTGAGCATTGAAAAAGAATTTAACAGTTTTTCGGTGAGAACAGCTCATTGTCGAAAACTTACGACACACAGACGTATTCATAAGTTGTCACAAGACAAAAGCAGTTTCACTGCGTGTTTGACATCCTAACACTAATAACAATAAAGAGGTGTGAATATTTTAGGCACGTTGTCGAAACAAAAGAATAGGATTAGGAACAATGTACATGTACCAGCTGGTTGAAACAAAGTCAGTTACGGTCTTGTTGAATTGGGGGTACGGTTAGTAATAGGTACTTTTCATGTTTTCAATTTTTTTTGAGAACTCTTTAACACTGAAGCCGAAATCGGGGGTGCGGTTACTATTAGGTATGCGGTTTATAATAGGATTTTAACGGTACAATCAATTTTTTTGTTGTGATTTAAAATTAGACTACTTGGTAAAAATTACGCCTGTCGAATGACTTTTTTTATCTGTTCAAAAGCTGGGCCGGAGTATCAGTCTAAATTGACAGGTTGACAGGCCGCTGTAAATGCTAGAAAGAATATAATATTCATGTTTCAGTGTTCTCCACAAGGGGTTTTAGGTGGGCGGCCCGCCCATCAAGTTTTACGGCCGCCTAGTAACTCTCAACGCCCGCCCACCAACGTACATCCAGCTGAAATTATTTGTAAAAAGCTTGCATTGTTCTTCCCAAGCCTAAACAAAAAGTAGTTGCCCAACCCTTTATTTTGCTATTGTTTCAAGAGTCCAAACATAAACAATGACCACTGGAAGTCTGCAAGCAGTTATCAAGTGTATTCATGGCAATGTGTCAATCGCCTGAATTCATTGTCGCCCGACATTGTTGCCACTTATTACTCACGATACACAACTACAGTGGTTTCAATTTACAGCTGTATTTT